AGATACCTTTTACCTTCTCTGACTCTCAGATGACTCTCTCAGGCTAGAGGTTATAGATGAGGTGCTGGGAGATGCTACACTGGAGAAATCTTAGGTCTGTGACTCATTGTCTTGTGTTGAATAATAAGTAAACAGTAAACCCAAATTATGACTGCTTAGAGATAGTTGTACGAAAATTTCATTGTTTCTCATTAAGTTAAATTTTATTCTTTTCAGTAAGCAAAACTATGCCCTCCCTCCTTCCTTTCCCCATCAGAAATGAAAGAAAAACTAAACTCTTGCTACAGGCATATATAGTCAAACAAAACAAATGTCCACATTGGCCATGTCTAAAATTTTAAAAAATGTGTACACATATAGGTCTCATTTTGCCTTCAGAATCCCTTACCTCTCTCTCAGGAGGTAAGGTAATGTGTTTTATCACTAGTGCTCTGGAATCATGGTTTGTCCTCATGTTCATCAGAGTTACTAAGTCTTTCAGAGTTGTCTTTACAATATTGTTGTTGTTGTTTAAATTGTTTTCCTGGTTCTATTTACTTCACTCTGTATCAGTTTATGTAAGTCTTTGACAGGTTTCTCTGAATCCACCCCTTCATCATTTCTTATGGACAGTAGTATACATTTATATGCCCTTATTCATTCATTTTCTCCTTGACTGGCAACCCCTCTGATTTCCATTCTTTGCCGCCTCAAAAGAACTATTAATATTTTTTGTACAAGCTTAGTTAGAATTTATTTTGCTTAGGACTAATCCCTTCCTTAATCTATCATCCTTCTAATTCCCCCTTCTCATTTTCCTTCTTATTTTCCCATTGAGTAACATATATTTTTGTAACCAACCACGTATAACCAACTGTTCTTTTCTCCTTTAACCAGTTCAGATGAGAGTGAAATTTAAGTGTCAGCTGATGTTCTTCTCCCTTCCCCACTCCTGTGCTCTCCATTGTGTTCCTCTTTCTTTCTGTTCTTCTTTTAAAATCATCAAGACAAGAACCGCCCCCAAGCCTTCTGTCTTATGACATCCCCTCCTTGATCCCTGATAGGGATAAGTTTCAGAGGGGACACAGGTATCATCTCCCCTTATTAGAATATGAGTAAATTATCCTTTTGTAATCCTTTGTCATTTTTTGCTTACATTTACCTTTTTTAACTCTTGTGTTTGAACTGCACAGTTTCTTTGCAGCTCTGGTCTTTTCATCAGGAATGCTTGGAAATTCTCTATTTCATTAATCAATCAATCAATCAGCACTTATTAATTCAGGCACTGTGCCAGGTACTGTGCTAAATTCTTGGCCCTGTACTAAGATTAAAACCCATTTTCTCCTCTGAAGGATTATACTCAGTTTTTCTGGTAAGATATTCTTGACTGTTGGTTGTTTGTCTTCTGGGATGTCATGTTCCAAGCTGTCTGTTCCTTTATGGTGGTAGCTGCAAAATCTTCTGTGATTCTGACTGTGGCTTCTTGGAACTTGAATTCTTTCTTTCTGACTGCTTTTTCACTTAAAAAAAAAATGTCACCTGGAAGTTCTGGGTTTTTGCTATAATGTTCCTGGGAGTTTTGATTTTTGGGTTTCTTTCAGGAGATAATTGGTGGATTCTTTCTGTTTATGCTTTGCCCTTTGGTTCTAAGAGGTCTGGAAGGTTTTCTTTTAAGATTTCTTCAAATCTAATATAAGGCTCTTTTTCCTTCTTTTTTGGTTATGGCTTTAAGTTAGTTCAGTGATTCTTAAATTTTTTTCTCCTTGATCTGTTTCCCAGACCAGTTGTTTTTTGCTTTGAGTTAACTTATGTTTTCTTTTCTTTTTTTTTTTCCTCATTGTTTTGACTTTGTTTGAAATTTCTTGTTGCTTCATGGAGTAATTGGCTTCTATTTGGTCATTTCTAGTTTTCAGGGAGTTTATTGCTTGGACAAGTTTCAGACTTCTTTTGCCAAGCTCTTAATTCCCTTTTCAGTTCTTTCTTTTGTAGTTTTCCTTTTTTCCCCCATTTTTGCCTCTGATGCTCACATTTTATTAAAAACATTTTTTAACTGTTGCTTCATCTCTTTCAGGAATTCTTTTTAAACTGTGGCCCAAGATGTGTTTTTCCTTTGATATAAGACACTTATAGGTGTCTTAGAGTCATTCTCTTTTTCTGAGTTTGTGTCTTAAGCATCCTTATCATCACAATAACTTTTTATTTCTTTTTTTATTTTCTCATTCTTACCTCTTACTTTTTGACTTCTCACTTTATGTTAGGGATAGACTCCGCGTACTCTTGGAGAGAAAGCCTAGGCTGGTCCTGTTGCTAGTGCCTTGGGGTATTGAGTGTTGTGTTATTTTGGTTTCTTGTGGACAGGCTGAGGACCTGAAAGCTTTCATTGCTTCTCCAGTGGTCCTATCAAGAGCAGGATCTGGTTGTTGGACCCCCTGTCTAAGCTTTGCAAGTTTCTGACCTGGGTCTGGGCAGCAGTAGATAACTGCTGGACTCATCAGCCAGCTGGAAAGCCCTACAGTTCAGTGATAGAACTGCAGCTGTCCTTTTGGGATGCCTGCCCTCATTACTCCTTTCCAGGCTTCAGATTGGGATAGAAGCTGAAACTAAGACCCTGCTCTGTTCCAGGGATCAAAGCCACACTTCTGAAACTTGTTTCTGAACTCCCTCCTTCTAAGCTTATGACCACTCAACTTCTGGGTACAAGTGCCTTCCTCAGTCCAGCTTGGATCTGTGCTCTAGTCCTGGGTAGAGGGTGACAAAGCTGCCATTTGGCACCTCTTCCTGTACCCTGTGCAAGGTTGTACCCTGGTTTGGGTCTGAGACTTCCTCTTGGGAACAGTGTCTGGGCACTGGAATGCTCCAAGCCAGATTGAGTCCATAAACCTTTCTATCTGGTTCCCTAGGCTGACCTGGGCTGAAGAAATGACTCACTTTGATTTTTTTTTCTTGGTTTTCCTGATCATGATTTAGTTTGGTGCATTTTCTAGATCTGTTTGGAGAAGTATTTTGTGGGGGGTGAGGGGTCAGGACGGGGGGCTTGCTATACTTCTTCCTGTGACTCTGCCATCTTGGCTGTACCTTCTGTACTTCAGATTTCAGTTTTTTAAAATATAGTATTTTTCCCCCCAATTACATGTAAAGACAAATTTTTAACATTTTAAAAAATTTTTGAGTTCCAAATTTTCTCCTTCACTTCCCCCCTCCCTAAAATGGTAAGCAATTTGATATCTGTTATATATGTGTAATCACGTAAAACATTTCCATATTAGTCATATTGTGAAAGAAGAAACAGTAGTATGCTTTGATTTGCATTCAGACTATCAGTTGTTTAGAGATGGGCAGCATTTTATATCATGAGTCCTTTGGAAATTGTCTTGGATCATTGTATTGCTGAGAAGAGCTAAGTCATTCATAGTTGATCATCACACAGTGTTGCTGTTACTGTGTACAGTGTTCTCCTGGTTCTGCTCACTTCACTCAGCATCAGTCCATGCAAGTCTTTCCAGGTTTTTCTGAAGTCCACCTGCTCATCATTTCTTATAGCGCAATAGTATTCCATTACATTCACATACCACAACTTGTTCAGCCTTTCCCCAATGGATGGGCATCCCCTCAATTTTCAATTCTTTGCCACCACAGAAAGAGCAGCTATAAATATTTTTGTCCGTGTGGGTCCTTTTCCCTTTTTTTTGATCTCTTTGGGATACAGACCTAACAGTGGTGTTGCTGGATCAGAGGGTATGTATGCACAGTTAGTTTGCCCTCTGGGCATGGTTCCAAATTGCTTTCCAGAATGGTTAGAACAGTTCACAACTGAATTTCAGCTTTCTTAGCTAGCTGTAGTGTCGTTATGTCTTTATTTTTCCTTAAAAAACAAACCCAACAACTCATCCTTTTAGTACATTATCCATATATCTCACTTGTTCCTTCCATGAACCACATCCATTAAAATAGTACTTTACGTTTATATAATCCTCTTGCAATTTATAAATCTTGTTTAGCTGTGTCTTTCAACAGACTCTCTCCATGCCTGCGTTGCACTTCCTCTTGGCCCATCTCTGACAATTAGATAATAAAGTGTAGAGAGTGCTGGATTTGGACCCAGGAAGACTTGAGTTCAAATATTGCCGCAGACATTTACTGGCTGTGTGACCCTGGGCACATCACTTCACCCTTTTTTTCCCCCCAGCCTCAGTTTCTTCATTTGTAAAATGGGTATAATAATAGCACCTACCTCCCAGGGTCATTATGAGGATCAAATCAGATAACACATGCAAAGGACCAGCTGTTATTGTTATTGTTTCTACTTGTTTCTTGATTGTAACTTCTAGTGAGGACCGTCCTGCTCCAGCTGCTAATCTCACCCCGCCACCCCAGCCCTCTGCTTTGTATTTAATGTGCGTCTGTGTTTTTCCTCATAGAATATAAGGTCCTTGAGAGCAGAGAATGTTTTGGTTGATTTCTGACTTTTGTCTTGGCTGCACCTGGCACTGTGCCCAGCTCATAGCAGACGCTTAATCATTGTACCTTTGATTGATAATAAGAGCTGCCTTTTATGTGGCACTTTCCCCTTCGATCCTCACAACAGCCCTGTGCTGTGGGTAGTAGAAGTGTTTCTATATCCTTTTTGAAAGAGATGAAGCTGCGGCTCTGTAAAAAATGAACTGTCCTAACTCTTAGAAAACTAGAAAGGGCTGGAATTGGACGTTGGCTCTCGGGTGTCCAGCTCTAAGTTCATTCCTCTTTCTGCTCTGCCACTTTTTCCAGTTCCTTTGTTTTGGGCCCATGTGCCAGATGCAGAGGGAGCTTCATGCCCTCAGCCCTGTGCTGGGATCTGGGGGGGCTCCTGAAATGTATTCCCTGGGACTGCTGCTGAGGCACATCCCTGCTGTGCTTGGGAGCTGGTGCCCAGGTTAGCTTCTGGGGCTTATGTGTCGGCTGCATTAAAGCCCTGGTGGCTCTACGAAGAAAACTCTCGTTTGAAATCCAGGGATATGTCTAACCCATATTCTTTACCCTCTTAGGTGATAACAGACTTGGAAGAGCAGCTGAACCAGCTGACTGAGGACAACGCAGAGCTGAACAACCAAAACTTCTACTTGTCCAAGCAGCTGGATGAGGCTTCTGGCGCCACGGACGAGCTGGTGCAGCTGCGCAGTGAGGTGGACCATCTCCGCCGGGAAATCACTGAGAGGGAGATGCAGCTCACCAGCCAGAAACAAGTAAACGTTTCCAGAGGCCGTGAGAAGGAGGGGGTCCCAAGTCATCAGCGTTGAGGGCACTTGGCTAGAAGGTCTTCCCACCAGTGGAGACTTCTCACAATCTGTTATCAAGGATTCAGAATTTTAAAATATTTATAGTTTGGTTAGATTTTAGTTTTGAAGGATTACAAAATCCTAGCATCTCTTGAAAAGGTGGTTGTAGTTTCCTCTTCCATCAGGATACTAATATCGAACCACTTTACTCTAACTGTTGGTTTCATCCCCCTGAACCCAGATTAGTATAAAAACGGAATTATGGCACATAGGAGAACAAAAGTGAAGCAGGGTGGTGTCCTGCAGAGAGTGCTGACCTGAGCATCCAGAGAGACCTGGGTGCGAATCCTGCCTTTGTCATTTATTAGCTCTGCTGGCTTCTTTGGCCTTCCATTTTCTTATCTGTAAAATAGAAATAATACTATCAGCAGCACCATCTTCTCAGGTTTTGTAAAGATCAGATGAAATATATTTAAGGCCTTTTGCAAACTTTAAACTGCTACATATGCATCAGCTTATTGTTAATCCTTATATGCTTCCCTTGAGTTGACTGGCAGTGAAGGAAACATAAAAATCATAGCCCACAGCATTTATGAAGTATTTCTTTTTGCATAGAACATTTTCACTGGATGCTACCTAAGATACAAAGTTTTGATAATGCATAATTTGGACATTTGTGAAATAGAAATGATTAAGTAGCATTTTAAAGAATTCTCACTTGATGTCAGAAACTTAATTGCACTCATCTTTTCAGACAATGGAAGCCTTAAAAACCACTTGTACAATGCTGGAAGAGCAAGTGATGGATTTAGAGGCCCTGAATGATGAACTTCTGGAAAAGGAACGTCAGTGGGAGGCCTGGCGGAGTGTTCTTGGTGATGAGAAGTCTCAGTTTGAGTGTCGGGTCCGAGAGTTACAGAGAATGTTGGATACTGAGAAGCAAAGCAGGTAGGATTTTATTTTTGAAAAATGTCATTGAAGTTCTCTGTGGAAGTGTCCTTCAATATGAAAAACCAGAGAGAGAGAGAGAAAGAGGAGAGAAAGAGACAGAGCGAGAGCTAACGCTGTGGTGCCCTCACACATCCCAAATGGGGGGGATGCCATGCCCACTATGGCAAATCATATAAATCATGAGACATGAACTAGGATCATAAATCACTTTTTGTAGGGAAAGGGCAGGACAACTAGTCTATAGAAAGGCGTTGGGAGTCAGGAAAATATTCTAATTGTTAGCAAAAATTTTCACTTGTTTTTGTTTTGTCATTGTTTCCATGTAGCAAGCGTGTGAACTGTTGTTTATCTTTCTTTGTTGCTTGGTCATTCTCTTTTACTCTAGGTGACACAATTCTAAGATTTCGTGATGGTAAATTATAGTTACAAGCTCATATGTGGATCCTAGCTCCAGAGGTGGAAGGGGCCCTAATGTCATCTGATCCAACTCCCTCATTTTACAAATGAGGAGACTGAGGCCTAGAGAGGGGCCAGGACATATCCAAGTCCGCACAAAGAGTGAGGGGCGGATGTAGAATGCAGACCCAGGCTCGGGGCTCCACGTGTGGTCTTTCTGGCTTGAGGAGCATTCCCTGCTTATTGGAACCATGAGCAAGCTGAGCTAAATAAGGAAAAGCTCACACTTTCAGTGGGGTGTGTCAGATAGAGAAATGCATTATTTTATCCTCCTCAGATCAGAGGGCCTGCCTAGGTGATCTGCCATTTTGAGTTCCTCTGCGCTTTAGCGTCCTTTTATCAGAGTTTCTCCAGGCCTTGCTGTGGACTCTGCATCAGCTCCAGTTCTGGAAGCCTTTAGGGTCTGGCTCTGTTACAGATTTTTGTTTCTTGTAGGCAATTTGAGTGCAAGGACTTCAGAAACACATACAAAGAGCTATAACCAGGAGACATAAGTACATGGTACATGTAGTGCCCTGTAGATCGAGAAAGTACTAGATTTGGCGTCAGAAGGCCTGGATTCACATTCTGACCATTAGTGCTTGTGTGACCTTGGAGACATCACTTGGCTTCCCTGGAGGCTCTCAGATTCCTCATCTTTAAATTTAGAGGTTGGGTCGGACAAGCCCCAGACATCTCATCTAAACCGCGAATCCTGTGATTCTCTGAAGTTGGGGGTTATTTTGAGAACGAGTTTTGAAAGCTTCGTTCTGATTTCCTTATTTTTCCACTCTACTTTTAGTAGCAAATTTAGGTGCTTAAAGTATATCTGTCAGAGTGTCATTCAAACTTTCTGGAATTAGCCCCTTCCTTGTAATTTTTTTAAAACTCTCTAACCTTTGGATAGAAGAAATTATTTTCCCAACAATACGTATATTGTTCTGTGGGTCCTGTGGGCACTCTGTATATTCAACAAATATACACTGATTTAATTGACTCCTCTACTTCGAGTCCAGTGAGAGGATATGATAGTGTTGATAGGGTGTATTTATCACAGTTGAAGCTTAAAATAGAGGAAATGGTCATCTGTACAATCGCAGTTCTGCTCCCCAGTGTCCACAGGGAGACCTTCCTGCCTCCTCCAACCTTGAACTGTCTCTGCTGAGGGAACTGACTTAATTTAATGTAACAAGCATTTATCGGGCCCTTACTGTGTGCCTTTTATTGTGCTAGGGAGTCAAGGAAAAATCAGAAGTCATCCCCGCTGCCCCCTTAAAAGGTTTGCGTTTTTGTCTGGGTGGGGCCAGGGGCGGGGTGCACAATACGAACCCAGAGAAGTAGATGCAAGGTAATTTGTGGAGGGAGAGAGTACTGAGTTGGGGGGGGCTTGCCTCTAGCCTGTGTCGGTAGACGTCTAGAAATGGGAGCTTGTTAGCCTCTTTGTTCCTTGAGGCCTAAAATGGGTTCTGTCCTCTAGTAAACGTGGGTGATGGAGTTACACACGCTTTGCTTTAGAGAGGGAAGAAACCTCGTGAGCTCATCCAGTCCACGCCCTCCCAGAGAGGCTGACTGTATCGGGCTCAGGGTCATACAGGGATTGGACGACAGGTTTCACACCCAGGTCACACATCACAGAATCACAGAATCTGAGAGTTGGCAAGGACCCCAGACTGTGTAGTGTAGTCCAGCCCTTCATGAGCATAATCCTCACTGCTGCATCCCTGAAAAGGAGCCCTCCAGGTCCCAGCTTCCTTTGACAGGAAGTGTTCCCCGACATCCAACCCATTGCTCCTGGAGCCAAACAGACCAAATACAGTCCTTCCTCCAGACAACCCTTCAAATGTTGGGACCCCCCACGTCTTCTCATCCTTGGTCCAAACGTGCCCACTTCCTGCAACGGATCTGCATCTAGCTATTGACATCTGGCATCAGGCCTTCTGTCAGAGCCAGGGCTCATTAAGGGAAAGGATGGAGTCTGCAGACCACAGGGCAGTCAAAGCCACAGGGGTGGTGCTGTAGGGACCTGGGCAAATCCACAGTGCTTTTACCCTTCATTCAGCCCTTCTTACTTCTCAGAGAAGATTCAGGTGACTTCTTTTCTCCTTCTGTCCCAAAGCAAGGCTGGGAATGCTGACATGTTTGCTTTATTTTTTGGATAGAGTGAGAGCCGATCAGCGTATCACAGAGTCTCGTCAGGTGGTGGAGCTGGCTGTGAAGGAACACAAGGCTGAGATCCTGGCTCTGCAGCAGGCCCTGAAGGAGCAGAAGCTGAAAGCTGAGAGCCTCTCGGATAAGGTTAGTCTAGTTGGTGGGCAGTACCTTCAAAGCCCTGGGCATGTTGGTGCCCACCAGAATCTCCTCTCATCCAGAGGCTGCTCTAGGGATCTGCATAGGGATGGGCCAGTCAGGCAGCCACACTAAGTTTGGCATCAACGTGGTGAGCCCCCAAGGGTGGGGGGGGGCACTGGGTTGCTTTAAGGAGGGGCTAAACAACTTAGATTGGGAGTAGCTCAAGTCAGAGCTTCCCTGCCTGTTAGAGCGGCTGGGATTGGCTCATCAGGGGCCTCTACTTGTCCAATTTGGGTGACATCAGGAGACTTAGTCTCTTAAATTTTTTTTTTAAAGAAAGAAAAGGGCCAAAGCTAACCCAACACAATTTTACCATCATGAAAACCTCAACTCCATATAGTGTTTTACAGTTTACTAAGCACTTTCTTCATAACTAGTAAGGGAACTAAAGGTCAGAGGGGTTGTGATTTGCTCAAGGTCAGTTAACTAAATGATAATTCCAGAACTTGACCTATTCTTTTTGACTCGGAATTCAGTGCTCTTTCTACTATGATAGAACAGCCTGGTTCTAATTAGTGACATTGATCCTCAAAGGAGTTATCAGGGACAGAGTTATGTTGGGCCAGTGAAGCCTCCATATTGTATCTGGAGATACAAGCTAATTTTTTTCTGCACTCAAGATTCCTGAAACAGTTTGGGGAGTTAGTACCCTTGACATGGGGGGCAGCTACATGGTGCAGTGGATAGATTGCTGGGCCTGGAGTCAGGAAGACCTGAGTTCAAATATGGCCTCAGACACTTCCTAGCTGTGTGACCCTGGACAGGTCACTTCACCCTGTTTGTCTCGATTTCCTCATCTGTAAAATGATCTGGAGAAGGAAATGGCAAACCACTCCAGTATCTTTGCCAAGGAAACTCCAAAATGGTACACGGATAATTGGACACAACTAAAAACAACGACTAAACAACAATACCCTTGACATGCCCTTGTGTTCCTTCCTTCTGCTTCCTTTGGCTGATTGTCACTTCTGACATCAAAGCACTGATGCTGCTAGTAAGCCCTTTGGCCTTGGTTCACTGATGTGGTGGATGAATAGACTTGGGCCTAGAATGACTCTCAGACATCTTCATGTCCAACTTTTCATTTTCGGAGGATGATACCCAGAGAGGGGAAGGAACTTGCCCAGTGCTGGTTGGTGACAGAGCCACACTTAGAACCCTGAGCTGCTGCCCGCTCAGCCTGGGCTCTCCTGCCATGCTGTGCTTCGTGGGGAATTCTCATTGGTAATGTTTGCAGAGTGTTGTGAACCTTTTTTATTGTTCATTAATAGTCCTAGGAGGTAAATCGGATTAATTGAATGAAAATGTGTTGATGGAATTTTTTGATTAACTCTTTAGATGAGGAATCTAAGGAAAAGGGTAAGCTCTGAAGGATGCTAAGCGTTCTAAGAGGTGGAGGTGAGGAGGGAGGGGGGCTTTCCAGGTATGGGAGACAGCCTGGGCAGAGACGTGAGAGGGAGACAGACATATGGAATGTCACATGTGAGGAAAAGCAAATCTGGTGGTTTGGCCAGACTGTGGCGTCACAAAACTGGCTTTTGTGTGAAAAGGCTGGAGAGATGGCTTGGTAGAGAGATCACAGGCTGGAGTAGAGAGAATCCTGCCCTGGGAGCCGGCAGGCCTGGGTTTAACTGGGGCCCCAGCCCTTAGCAACTTTGTGACTTTGAATAGAGCAGAGAACTTCAAAGTTTCACTTTTTTGTCTGCAAAATAGGTGTCATAATACTTGCCCTCCTTAGCTCCTCATCTCTAACAAAGCTGTGTTTGTTAATTCCTGCATTGCTCTCAGGTTGCTGGTTCAGCTGCTTCTCTGAGATAGGGTTGGAGCCAGACTGAACCAAAGAGTTTGTATTTGATTCCTGTAGAGGACTCACAGATGCTGGGGCTCTCTGAGGGGAAATTGACGTGGTCACATGGATGTTCTAGGAGTATTGCTTTGGTAGCTGTGGGGAGCATGGACTGGAGGGGGAGACCAATTAGGAGGTTATTCCAGTAGTCCAGGAATGATGTGATAGCAGCCTGAAAATAAGCATGATAGCCATATAGGTAGAGCCTGGGGGGCGGCTATGAGAATTATGGAAGTAGAATCTATCGGACTTGGCAACTTACTGGATATTTGGTTGGAGGGAGAATGAGATGGAGATGACATGGAGATTGTGAACCTGGGATACTAGAAGAGTGATGCCTCTTCAGAGAAAAGTCAGGAAGTTCAGAACAGTGATGGCTCTGGGTGGGAAAGATGATGAGTTCTGTTTTGCAGGTATTGCGTTTGGGATGCCAGTATATATCCGTCTTGAAATTTTCCATAGGAAATTGATGACGTGGACAGTAAGCTCAGGAGGGAGTCGAGGACTGAATATATAGCTCTGGGAATTAATTACCAGTTATGCTGTCCTTAGAGATGATAATTGAACCCATTCCTGATGAAGTCTTCCAGAGAGAAAAGCAAAGAAGGCCCAGAAGAGGGCCTTGGGGTTCACCCGTGGGATACTGAGGAGAGGTCAGCTAGGTGGGAGATGACCCAAGAAAGAACAGTACCCTGAAAACCCAGAGAAGAATAGTGTTGTCTGGTGAAGAGAGGTCAGGAAGATTGAGAAAGGTCCTTAGATTTAGCAATCGGGAATGGTTTCAGTGGTGTGAGAAGGCCTGAAGCTGGCCATTGGGGCTGAGAACTGGGTAAGAGGAGCCAAAAGGGAGGAGAGGTGGAGAGTCCAGGCTTGAGGGCATCTCACAGGGACGTGGGGTGGTGGGAGGAAGCAGGAGGAGAATCTGAAGCTTGGGAGAAATTGGATACAAGAGGGCGGGGAGATGCTTCGGATTTCCAGCCTCAAATTGCCCTGGTGTGGCTTTCTTTCACCATGGAGCCTTGAGCTTTATTGAGTCTTACCGCTTTTCTTGATATACTACACAGAGCGGACTGACAACTTTAACCCCTTTATGGCTAATTTTGAGGAATACTTTAACAACTTGTTTGCCCTTTCCTGGGCCCAGTCCTTAAAGTGCTTTTAATTTGACCAAAGAACAGCTATCTCTTAGGTCTTGGTGCTGTAGAAACAGGATTTCCTCTGTCCCTTTGCTTTAGAGAAGTTATTCATCTGTCACTGTACAAAGGCTCTGTGAGTCTGGCAGGATGGAAGACTTCTGGTGTGGGATCTTCCTCCACCACCACAGCCTACACCTTGTCTGTGATTCAGTAGATGGAGTCTAATTAGGGGCTGCTTAAGGCCCATGGAGATGAAGTGCCTCGCTGAGAGTCACACAGTCAGTAATGGTAGAGGCAGGCTCTGAGCCCAGGTCTTCCTTGATCCAAAACATCCATTAGGCCATGCTGGCTTAATGTTCTGTTACAGAGAGGAGATTTAAAGTACTAGCTTACATTTCAGCAGGCTTTAACGTTTAGAAGGCATTTATCTCATGATAAATAATCATTTACAGATTAAAAAAAAGTTGGAGCTCAAAAAAGTTATGGGATCTGTTTGTAGTCATATGCTGTTAAGTGTTGGGGTCAAGACTTCAATCCAGGTCTCCTGACTCCCACCGCAGGTTCCTTTCTTCTGCTGTCTGTAGAGATTTAGTAGACTTGTCATTGATATTGAATTTGGGATCTTTTTTCTTTTTTTAAAAAAGTGTCTTTTCTAACCTTTATGAGGCATTGTAGCATGGTGGATCTCTGAGAGCTGGTCTGTGTCCTGAATCATGTTGGGTCTCCAGCACAAGCTCTCTGACCTTGGGCAAATCACTCAACCTATCCTTCCCTCAGGCAACTCTCAAAGATTCTCTAAGTTGCCGAAAAGGGCCCTCTGGCTTTGGTAGCAATCACAGCTCTTGACCCTCTCCCTTGTTTGTGTTAAAGATTGTAAGTATGTGATAGTTGTTTGCCTCTCACCTGTAGTCCTCCGTCTCATTCTTCCTGATGTCTAGCTCAATGACCTGGAGAAGAAGCACGCCATGCTAGAAATGAATGCCCGAAGTTTACAACAGAAACTGGAAACAGAGCGAGAGCTCAAACAGAGGCTTCTGGAAGAGGCAAGTACTTCTTAGTCTAGGATGTCCCTTGGGAAGGGTAAGGTGGTCCATAGGGACGTGAGAGTGAGTTGCGTTAATTCATCAAGTCTGTTAGAAGTTCATTGATTGAAGGCAAAATTTGGAACAGCTGCCATTTTGGTATCACAAAAAATGTTCATGATGAAAACGAGATAGATCTTGGACAGGATTCTCTTGTCAAATGAAGAAACAGTAGCCAAATTACATATTCTCTGAAGTTTATGAAGTTTTTTAGGCCAATAGGACAGCCATGCAAATGAGCATGGACTCAGCCTGACGTTGAATCTGAATGAAATTATGTTCCTAGAGCAGTTTAAGGAAAAATTTTCTTAATACCTCAGTGAAGCCTGGATTTCATCCACATAGGCATGCCTGACAGAGGAAAGTACACCTTATTCATATATTCTTATCCTCTCTGATTCTTGTCTGCACACTTTTGTAAGTTGTCTATAGAGGCTCTATGCCCACACTTGAAGCCTTCCCCTAAGCCTTTAACATTTGGTGGGATCCAAGTCAGGATTTAGGCTAGAATTCTATTACAACTAGAAAAATTATATAGATTACTAATACTCTAAAGCCTTTGAATTTTGTACCAACAATTCTCATATTTTGGGGCGATGGCCTAATTTTCTGGAAAAGGAAGCAGACGGTAGGAAAAAAAATCCAATAATTCAGGATTTATTCCCAGAACACATTTCTGCTGTCTCTCTGGGTTGAGATGAAACTGCAGGATGCATTTAGCCCTATTCGCTGCCTTTTTTATGTGTAGGATTAGATAACAAAGGATGTATGGAATGATGAACATCAAGGCTCTGCAGCATCTTGAATCAGCCAAGATATTCCCTTCATCATATAGGGGATTAAGGTAGCAATTCAGAGACCTGACATTGATCATGTGGTTGGCAAATGCCTAAGCCAGTTCTTAAACCCGGGCCTCCCAGTGACTCCCAGTCCCACCCCTGAGATTCAGTGACACACATACATTCTGGCTCATGGTAGGAAGGTAGGTGAACAGAGATTTAATTCAGTTCAGCAGACATTTCCTAAGTGCTTGCTGTGGGGAGGTGCTCTGGTTATGACAAAAACGAGGCAGTAGCGCCGTTTTACTTGGACACACAACAAGGACCCACACAAGGGTCTATGAGGAGCAGCATGGGTTAGTGGAAAGAGCTCTGGCCCTGGATCTAGGGGACCTGGGTTCAAATTCCACCTTCCATGCTTACCAGTTGTGTGACCTCAGTCAAGGGGCTTTCTCGTCTGCAAAATGATGGGATAGTGCCCTTTGAGCGCTAGACCTGTGATCCTCTTTGAAGGCAATACGAGATTGGCAGTGAAACGAACAGAGGAGAGGAGGGGGAATTGGGAGAGTTATCATAGAGGTGAAGGTGCCAGCATGGAGCCTGGCCAGAAGGCAGGCCATCTCCAAGGCAGAGGAGGATGGGGTGTGGTGTGGACCTCTGTGGAGCAGAGGTGTGGTTTGGGATGGAGGGTGTGGACATTAGAGTGAGAGTGGAGAATAGGGTTAGGAAGAAGAAGGGAAAGAAAGAAGGACAGAAGGAAGGTTCACAGCAAAAAGGGACTTTGATGATAACCACCGTGCTGCGGTGCTGTGTTAGCTGAGGGATTTGGACATGTGATTTCAGTGGTGTGAGGGTCTCTTGGTGTAGAGACATCTTCACCCAATGAAGAATAGCACCTTCTGCAGCTTCTGTCTTCATCACCTTGAGCACGGAGCAGTTAAGTGACTAGCCAAGAGTTAGATTCCCAGGATGAATCAGGCCTCCGAGGCCAGCCCTTTATTCCTTATGCCGAGGCCTTTCGGTTGTGTGCTTACTAGATTGCATTTGAAGCTACTGATGTTGGCAACGGTTACGTTCCTGTTGCTTTCACGCTAAATATGAGAGACATAGTGAACGTTTTGCAGGCCATCGAGACGTTCTGGTGCCCTGGTGGCCTTTTAAGCCCAAGTGCTTGGGTATCCATGAAGGTGGCACATTTAATACGGGACATAAAAGAAACAAGATCAAGGGGCTCTAATGACTCTTACTGAATCACAGTCTGGAAAGCTCATCAAAATAAATAAAACATAACTGCACTTAGAGAATGCTTGAAGGTTTGCAAAGCACTTTATAAACATTACCTCATTTAATCCTCACAACAGCCCTGAGAGGCAAGTACTGTTGTTATCTTCATTATTTTACAGATGAAGAAACTGAGGTAGGCAGAAGTGAAACAACTCCCTCAAGGTCACACAGCTAATTAAGTGTTTAAGGCTAGATTTGAATGCAGGTTTTCCTGACTCTAGGTCCAAACTGAGGAGGGTTTTGTTGGCTGGCCTATGGCCCCTCCAGGTACCCTGGCCTGCGAGGGGCAGGTCCTGTAGTTTTCAAGCTGTACAAAGAGAAACAGAAGCATTTCAAAGCTCTTTATTGTAACAAAGATAACTCTCAGTAAAGCAGCTAAATTGCTTTGGGGAAAAAGGGATCTTATTTGGTGTAAATGTAGCATCAAAATTGTTTGTAACAATAAATCATTTGTTTGTAGTCTGTTGGGGTACCTAAGAAGCGTCCTGGTGATTTATTGTAGAAATGGTGTTTCAGCCACAGCTGTCAGCACGCATTTTCTCTGCAGTCCTTGTTTTGGTGCTTTCAGCCTAATGATTAGCATGGCCTTTAAACAGAAGGAAGAAGCCAAAGTAGGTAAAGTGCAGAAGAACATCATATTGATAAAGAGGCTAATACTTCCCTTTCAGAAGTCCCCTTGCCTGATACTTCCTCTCTTCTGTATAGCACCGGATCTTATGGATTCCTTCAGAAATTTCCATTGAAAATGAAGGAGAGCTCTGCTTGGATCCTGTCGGTCATTCCTTGTTTCAGTAAGAAGGGGAAGGAACCTTTTTTTAGAGAGCCTCACACCAGTGAGGAGTAATTTGATTATTAGTTTAAGGACTTTAGATTTTTCTTCCTGTCCAGGAGGAAAAAAAGAATTCATTTTGCCCAATTAAAAATTAATGACAAAAAAAGATAAAGATAAAATGCTAGCGAATATTTAAAATATTCTACAAATCCTTACTGTGATGTCTCATTGTGACCTGGAAGTGACCCTTGGTACTTGAAGCCTGTGTCAGTTGACCGTAAATTTTGGCAGGTTCTTCCGTGTCCATATCCCACCTCTCCCTCTAAGTGTTCCCCAAGGCTTTGTCCTGAGCCCTCTGTTCTTCTCTTTCTCTCATTGACCTCATCAGCTCACAGAGACTTACTTGCTTCTAGACTTATTACTCCTAGGTCTGTATACTGAACTCTGTCAGTTACCTCGTGAACTTTTCAAACTGGATATCACAGAGACATCTCAAACCCAGTATGTCCAAAACAGGTTATCTTCTTTACTACCAAACGTTCCCTCTTCCAAACTTTGCTGTTTCTGTTGAGGACATCACCATCCTTCACCACCTAGGTCTGCAACAGCAGGGTCACCCTCAACACCTTGTTCTTACTTAGTCCATGTTTTCAGTTAGTTGTCCAATCTTACAGTTTTTTTCCCTACAACATCCTATATGTTCTTCTTTTTACCCATAGAACCACCACCTTAGTTCATGCCCTCTGATTATAGTGATAGCCTCTTTTCATCTAGTCTCCTCTCTGATATATTCTTCACACAGCTATTAAAGTGATTTCTTTTTTCTTTTTCTTTTTTTTAGAATTCAATCAGCATTTAAAAATTTTATCTTATTTTCAGTTCCAAATTTTCTCCTTCTGTTCATTGAGAAGGTGAGAAATATAATACCCATTATACATATGAAGTCATGCATAATATTTCTGCATTAGCTGTGTTCTTAAAAAAAGGGGAAAAAAAGGACAAGAAAAAGAAAGTATGCTTGAATTTACATTCTTAAGTCCATCAGGTCTTTATCTGGAGGTTGATAGCACTTTTCATCATGAGTCCTTTGGAATTTTGTGGATCATTGTATTGATCAGAGTAGCTAAATCTTTCACAGTTGATCATCATTAAAATATTGCAGTTACTGGGTACAGTGTTCTCTTGGTTCTACTTACTTCACTTTGCATCAGTTCATATAAGACTTCCCAGATTTTTCTAAAACCATCCTGCTTGTCATGTCTTATAGCACAGTGCTATTCCATCACAATCATATACCACAACGTGTTGAGCATTCACTAATGGATGGATAACCCTTTAATTTCCAATTCTTTGCCACCACAAAAAGAGCTGCTGTAAATCTCTTTGTGCACACAGGTCCTTTTTCTGTTTTCTTGCATCTCTTTGGGATGTAAACCTAGTAGTGGTATTGTTGGGTCAAAGGGTATACACAGTTTTATAGCCATTTGGGCATAGCTCAAGTTGCTCTCCAGAATGGCTGATCAAGTTCACAACTCCACCAACAGTGCATAGTGTCCCTATTTTTACATATCCCTTCAGACCTGTCATTTTCCTTTTCTGTCATGCTGCTACCTCAGTATTGTTTTAATTTGCATTTCTCTTATCAGTAGTGATTTAGTTACTTTTTCATGTGGTAATTGATACAAGCTTTGATTTCTTCTTCTGAAAGCTGCTTGTTCATATCCCTTGACCATTTATCAATAGGGGGATGACTCTTATTCTTGTAACTTTGGCTTGATTCCCTGTATCTTTGAGAAATGAGACCATCCAAAAAACTTGCTGCCAAAATTTTTTGCCCAGCTCCTACTTTTCTTCTAATTTTGCCTACGTTGTTTTAATTTGTGCAAAAGCTTTTTAATTTTATGTAATCAAAATTATCCATTTTACCTCCTGTGAACCTCTCTATCATCTGTTTGGTCATGAACTCTTCCCCTGTCTATAGTTCTGACAGGTAATTTATTCCATGTTCTTGTAATTTGCTTATGATATCACCCTTTATGTCTAAATCATGTACCCATTTTGAGCTTATCTTGGTATTCAGTATCAGATACTGGTCTACACCTAAGTTTCTGCCAATCTACTTTCCA